GTGGCTACTATCAGTTAGAAGTTAAGGGTTCCCCTCAGGAACGATTTCCCACTTGGAATAGTACATTTGAGCTGAAATTTTCAGAAATGATTTATCCTGATGAGATACACTTCTGGTAAATATTTCAGCCCTATAACTCGTACTAGGCCGGAGTTTCAGCTGATTCATGATCCATTTTTGGAATAACTATAACCTCCTTGCGACACGTGATATAGATCTCGGTGTGGTTTTAAATTAAAGCTAAGATTAGTGCGCAACTTTTGTCGGACTAGAGTTTTGAAATTCAATTTCATTCATCTTTTATGTGCATTTTTGGTGACATGGTTGAAAAATCAGCATAAAAGATGATAGTCCAACGAGAGTAAATTGTACTTCTCAGCCGAGGAACCAACTATAAAAAATCCGTTAGGACAAAAGTTTACTCTCGTTCAGAGCTTTAAAACAAAAATAAAAATATTGGGGAATAGTCTGAGCCTGGAAGGAGAAGTTCCAATTTTTCTGATTGAAAAGTGTGTTCTGAGAAAAACGATAAAAAAATTTAGAAATGGATTTTTTAATTCAAATCCAAAGAAAATCATATTACAATGGTATAATACTTATTCATTCCAGTGGATCGTTTTGAAGGACGTAAAAGATGAAGGTAGCTAACGCCCTCAGACTTGCTGGGTAATATAAAAATACTCTGCTCAATGTTAATGCAAATGGCAACGCAATTGTTTCAAAACTGAAAATCTTTAAAAACCACGAAAATTTCTCAGAAAATATGGTGGTAGAATCAAAAATTTCATGTGATAAGTCTTTGAAAATGTGATCATTTTCCAAAAATCGATAGATATTCTGCAAGACGAAACTTCACTGCATCTTCCTATGATAAAAACTCAAGTTCGATATTTCTTTTAAAAATTGGATTTTCTAAGGGGAGAAGGCTCTTAAGAAGGCATGATATGTGTGTATGTCGTTAGTAGTTTAGAAAGCTACAAACGGTTCAGATATCGATCCCGATTCTCTAAATAAATGATAGCTCGTGCAAATCGTGAAGACTCCCAATAGGTTTTCTGCAAGATTTTGTTATTTTCTAACTGATAAATGTTTCACACAACTCCGTTGCGTCCATCAACTAACAGTCATGAGAAGACAAGCTATAGGTAGTCATTGAAGTTTTCTAAGTATTAGCAGAATGTGCAAAACAGTATAAAAAGGGCTAGATGAGATTCTCTTTGAGTTCCAAAAATAGGTTCCCACACCCACATCCTTGCTGTAGGAAGTAGCTAAATCGGGATGATTCGAAGGCAGAGCTTTTTCTCTTATTTTAAGTGTTTTTTCGTAAAATTCAAGTGCTTTCGAGTAGTCACCCATGTTATTATACACTAGAGCAATATTATTGTACATAGTAGCTAATGAAGGATCATCTTTCGGAAGAGTTTCCTGCTCGATTTTCAGAGATTGTTCGTAAAATGCAACTGCCTCTTCATATTGTCCTTGGCTGTATTTCATCACTCCAAGCTGGTGATAGATGTATGCTCTATCACTATCGTTCAATGCCTGCTCCAGTAGTACCATATATAGTTCTTCGGCCTTGTCGAATTGACCTATTTTGAGTAACAGTTGCCCCATTCGACGCCATCCAGTGCCGCTGACCTCTTCTCGTATAAAGTCAGTTAATTCTCGAAGTTGTGGGTCATTATCCGACGTAAGTTTCAGGTCCACTTGATAAAGTGCACGATTGTTGTCAATTTTTCGCACTTCACCAATGCGAAAGACAGTGTGCATGGAGAAGAGAATTTCTTCTTCCTTATAATAGCTCACCTCCTGGATGGAAGCGAATGGAGTTGATGATATTGTAGGATCAATGGTTATTTGAAATAGAATTCCAACCCTATCAGTCATTTTCAAGGCTTCTTTGGCGAAAACAAGGGAGATATCTGAATTTGTGCTGGTAGATAAAAAGTTGTTAAAAGAAATAAGCCCACCTTTGTTTTCTGCGAGCTTTTCAAAATCTACTTTCGATAGGCCTTGCCCTCGAAAGATTGTAAAAATCTTGTTATGATATTGGCTGACCTGATTCTTGTACAGAGCTTCGATTTGTCGATGAACATCGCAAAGAAAGAAACCCATTCGAATCATGATGTCGCCATTAAGTGTTCTTAATGCTCCATTGAGCATCTTGTACGTGAAACACTCACGCGTGTACCACCAAATGGCGTTTGATGATTTGTAGTTGTGTTCGAATTCATTAATAACTTTTGTTTCTGTTTGATTTTCCAGGTATATTGATCGGCAATATGCTGCCAAATCTTTGATGGTCTGTTGATCATGTTTTATATCAAGGAGTATCTCCTTGAATATTTGTGTATACATGAAGGTTGGTTCAAGCTGATTGAGATTTTCGCTTGAACCTCCTTCATTCGAACTGATAATGCTCACCGGCATATTGTTTTGGTTGCATTGTTTGACAGCCATTGCTAGTGCTTCGCAGATTGGCTTAATTGTTGTATGGACTCCGTTTATTTTTGTCCAGTTGTTGGCCCATGCTTCATGCCGTTGATTGTTGTCACAAAAGATATAAATGGCGTTCAAATGTGTGATGCCATGAATACGTGGAACCAGGTGTTGTCCTAATGCACCGGAGGAGATTACGAATGCTATCGCCCCATTGCTTTCTTCGAGGCTTTGAATACATGCCTCTACCGTTTTGCATATTTCAACGTCGTTAACAACACTGTGCAATTGCGCAAGTGTATTTCGACAGTCTTCGTTCGATTGATTGATATTTGTATCAACCCAAAGAACTATATAATTCTCTGCCATGCGTCGTCTTCGTGACATGGCTGCTGTACTTGCCGCAGCACCTGAATTTGATGGTGTAATGGTTTGTTTGGAGTTGTTGCAACCCATTTTAGATTAATCTTCTGGATGTCGAAGCAATACTTGGTTATCGTACAATAAAGACTGTTGTTTCGTCAGATATTACTCATGTTTTTTATATATTCAATGTGGGTTTTTTTTCTTCTAGATTTTTCTGCTGCGTCATATGTTGATAGTTTTGTTTACTGTTGATACTCAACGACAAACTCCATCTAGTTTCAATTCAAACTACCGTTATCAACAACGCTTCAGTGGGAGAGAAAAACTTAATGACATTATTATTTTCTACTGTGATTCTTTCCAACTTTCATTTGCTTTTCATTTAGATAGGAGTCGCTTTAATGTCAATATGTTGGATACCTTGTCTCACTCGTTGTTTTTGTTATTCTTTATTTTGATCGTATTAAAACGATTGCTTTTCTCTTTCAGACAAGAGCATAAAGATAACAATAAAAGTATATTTAATTTTTAGAGCGATAGCATTGGAAAAACATGTTTTACTGACCGAAGTAAGGTGGAGTTATTTGACGAACAGTGGCATAGCCAGAGGTACGGCCATTGGGCAATTACCCATGGATTTTTTGAAATGATACCAATTGCATAATGCTGCAAAATCTTGATATACATACATGTACAAAGATTCAAGTGATGTCATCTTAATACATTGTATCTTGTTGTGAGCTAATCAAGTGTTCCCGAAAAATCAACCGACTATTTTTTCCATTAAACCAATGCTCACAATGATGACAATTCAATGGTGTTTTTTTTCAAAGTACTCGTTATTCTACTTAAACTCACTACTGGTTCTATTTGTGCTTATTTATGTTTTTCGACATAATATATTCAAATATTTGAAAGTTGAAGAGTACATTTGTGAAACAGTCCAAAAAAACTGTTAGTGCAATCTATGCAGGATTAAAATGTGAAAAACGATGTAGCTGCTGTTACTAATCACGAGAATATGGTTTTATTCAATCTATCTTGGGACTCATTTTTTATCATCGTTTACTTAATCCTCTAGAACTGCAAGAAGGAAGGAATTTATATATTTTCATGAGATGCTAGTGATCTATAAGCACTAATCGTGTATCAAAAACGTCTGTCACGATCTATGGGGAGCACAGTGAACAGCCCAGGCAACAAAATCAATTTTCGAGATTTGAGCCTATATCATAGCTAGCATGGAAGCTACTATGGTGCTGCATTTAAGTGCATTTTGAACGCTACTTTATAGTGAGTGTTTGTTAAGCAGCAGGTACCACAAAGTACATCAAATTAGTGAATATCATTAATAGAACCATGTAAGTAACTTCTATGTTTTAAATTGAGGATCTAATTATAATCATTAGTTATTATTTAGTTATACAGTGCTATGTATTTAGTATATATTACAGACCATTTGGACTTTTTAAAGTTCTTTAGGCTATAATAAGATCAAAATCTTACGCTCAGTGTAGTACAAAAATAACCACTGGTCAATAATGCAGTTATTTTCCCGAAACTTTAATTCGAGTTTTAATTTCTTATTTGGTAGAGCATGTCATCATCTATCTTCAGTGGATGCGCAAAGATGCGCGTTTAAATCCTTGTCGAGATATTGTGTCTCAAATGTAACCTTCTATCAAAATTTGTTGACAATTTTATACAGTGATCACTCATGTTCCAATCCATCAAGTTTCGAATAGATAAATAAACAGCACACGTACATCAACCTCAGGTGTGGGTGCGGGTGCGGGTGGGTGTGGGTGTGGGTGTGGGTGTGGGTGTGGGTGATTGAAGAAGAATAAGCTACCCTCACACCCACACTCTTTGAAAATCAAGGTCAAACTTCACCTGGATGTAATCAAAAGTATCGTTGTCAGCAACAAAAGGTAGAGAGAAAAAACCCAGCAATATCATTCATTTTATCATTATTCTTTCCAACTTTCGTTTGCTTATCATCTATATAGTTAATGGTCACTTGAAAGTCAGTGCGTTGGATATCTTATCTCATTCAGCTTTTATTTGTCTTTTAGCATCTCGAAACAAATGAAGATATTGTCAGTTTTATTTATTTATTTTTTATTATGCATAAGACTTGCTTTCTGATAATGTGAGCAAAAGAAAATGAAGAATAAATTCAATATTGTTACAAACAACAATAGAACAACAGTTTCTGCTTGCTCCCATAATATACTGTTCATCATTCACGAGTTGTTCAAGTAAAATAATAGTAGTTCGAAAATAATTGAGTATTGAAGTACGTATTATAAATTTCAGGAAAGGGCTAAAATATATAGATATTTTGAGATTTTTACGTCATATGTATTGAGAAATAAGTTTTTTCTAAGTATAAGAAATATTTTGTTAATATAAAAGAAATTTTTGATCTTTCTAATCACGATTTTCAAATATTTAACTGTTGATGGAAAGGACAGTACAAAGAAAAAGAAATCTTACTGGGAAATGAATTACTATGTGATTACAATTATTCAGTTGATTTTTACAGTGTATTACAGTGTTATTATGTATTGTTACATAATGATAAATGTTTTCATATTGTTTAAATTAATTTAGGTTTTTATTAATTACATTTGATTCATATTTATCATGATATTAATATCGGCACCAGAAGTCAAGGCAGGTGGATGTTTTTTGAATAACTTTTGATAGGAACAAGATAGAGACTTGCGGTATGCAGCGTTTGATAGCCAAGGCGCAGGGCCATGTTTTTGTAAGCAAAATCTTTTTTGAAAAAAAAACTTCTAAGACCAGGTTCGAAGAAAATCTTTGGAAAACGACGCTAGTTTTCTGAAAGTTGCCATAGGAGTATATTGATTTTTTTATCTGGATAGATAGCCCACAGTC